AGTTGAGTTGTTGACCAAGACAATCTCATAGAAATCCCCAAATAAACCAGACTGTTGCTACAAAATGAGTTGTTCTTACAAACTGACAGTGGGGCCCCAGGACAGAGCAGAACATCCACACAACTCATTGAACATGGAGAAGTTGATCTGGTACCTACATAGAGCCTTCACCCCCAGATTCTAGTGCCTTTGGTGCTGGAAGGTACTTGGCAGGCTATCAAAAATGTAAACACCGCCTCAGTCCTAAATCCTTTGACCTACAATCTTTCTTGCTTGTCTAATGTGCTAAGGCAATAGTGGCACAGAACTTGTGAGAGCAGGCAACCAATGTCTTATTTAACCTCAGGCACTCTCCACGAGAAGGAACCCACACCAATCCAAGAAAAAGAGACTAGATAAACCACAGATTTAGGATAAAAACTGAATACTACCAGTAATCAATCAATCAATCAATCAATCAATCAATCATTAAATAAATTGATTCCTAATGATATTCTGCTATACTTGTAGCCCAAATAAATAAATAAATTATTCCTAATGATATTCTGCTATTCTTATATACCAGTACCTTATTCAGTCATTATCAGAGAGGCTATTTCTGGCAGCAAATGAGAACAGAGGTGCAGAAAGACTCACAGCCAGACATTAGGTGAAGAGTCTAAATTGGAGATCTCCATCAAATCCTTCTTTACAGAGCCCAGGGAACCTCACAGAAGAGGAAGACACCAGGAGAACAAGGCCCTTTCCACCAACTAAGCAAGGTGCATGTAAGGTCACAGAGCAAGCACGGTGCCTACACAGGTCTACACCAGGTCCTCTGTGAATGTATTACAGCTATTAGCTTTGCATTTTTATGAGACTCCTGACTGTGACAAGTTGGTCTCTGACTCCTTTGCCCGCTCTTGGGACTCTTTTCCTCCTTTTGGGTGCCAACTTTGAGATGATAGTTTTTACTTCATCTTAATTATAATTTATTGTGTTATGTTTGGTTGTTATCTCTTAGAAGACATTTCTTTTCTCATGAGAGTGAAAAGGGAGTGGATCTGGGGGTGAGGGAAGTTGGGAAGGAACTGTGAGGAGCAGTGGGAAAAGAGACTATAGTTAGAATATATTGTGTGAGAAAAGAATTTATTTTCACAATGAAAATTATTATTACTTAAAATATTACTTACTTTTAAAAGCAAAGTGTT